CACGATGAGGAGGGCTGCTACACCCAAGTGGTGGGAACTAGTGCGGGTGGGCTAGACTCTGGGTTATGGGAGTAAGGGGCCTGTAATGAGGAGGGAGCAGAGCAGCCTTCGTGTAGAATTTAGACTTTCAGAGAGAAGGGCCAGCCAGGGGTGTTTTCGCGCTGGGCAGCCTGCCATGTTCAGGTGCTTGCCAGCTTTCTTGAAAGCCCCTCTAAGAGGTATGACAGTGCCAAGAAAAGGAGTGAAGATTAAGACACTGTAGGTAATGGCCGAGGAACTGCCCCCGCTGGAGAAAGGAGGGAGAGAATCTAGAGCTGGGGCTCTCTGTGCCTCTCCCCAGTCCCTACAGGCTGCAAGGCCCTGGGTGTGAGAAGAGGAGTGGAGGGAGCCCTCAGCCCCACTCCTTCAGTCTCTAGGTGGGAACTGGAGATACTTGGAATCATGCCAATCCAGAGCTAAGGGCATTCTGGCTGGGGGGATACGTCTGTGTGGGGGTGGGGATGGAGCGGGGAGTGTCTGCCCCTCACAAGCTGTAGCTCTCCCCCTACACCTGCCCTGATGTGTTGTAGAGGCTTCAGGGGTTGTGGGCCAGGGACAGATAGATAGGTTTATATGGGCCTTCTGATCAAGCTGTAGGAAGTAAATCTGTAGCTTTCTTTCCATTTTTCTTACGAGACTGTCCTTGTACTTGAGGCAGGGTGGCTTTGGATTCAGACTAGGACACAAATCCTGGTTCTCTGAATCTCTATTTCCCTGCTATAAAATGGGGTGCCCTCCTTATAGGGCTGTGAGTGAAGATTCAGTGAAACAATATGTGGAATAATGATAAATAACTACTATTTATGGACCAACCACTACATATCAGCTGCTATGCTAGGCTGCTGCCTATACAGTACACACGTGTGTGCGCATGTGTGTGTGTTTACATATATGATTCCTCTTGGGGAAGTGTGGGCTTGAAGCAGGTTTCATATTTCAGTTTGGTGCATTCTAAGGTGGGCCCAGCCTACTCCTGTGCCACCCCCCTCCCCACCCGCACAAGGTCTTCCCTTCTTGGCACTGACGCTCCAAACACAGCATCTCCAAGTGCTACCAACTCACTTCTGAGCAGAGGCTCCCAGCCCAGCGAAGAGGGCAGGGCATGAGAGTCTGCTCCACTGGACAGCCCCTGCCTGCAGCCCGGAAGCCAGAGTTGAGCATAGCTACTTATTATTCCAGGCAAGTCTGGCTGCAGTGCTGCACCAGCCTGAAGCCCTAGGCCCCTGGCCCCTCCTGTTTCCTTTCTCCTCTTTCCATTCATACTTCATTTCCCATGCATCACGCCAGATTCAATAGGAGCCTTTGGCAGGGGAGATTCAGGGGGTGGGTTCCTTTCAGATTCTCAGAATACCCTACTCCCTACACAGGGAGTTACCCTTTTTCCTCATAGCCTGGGGATGCACCCCAGGAAAGTTAAGAGTAAGGGATTTCTTGACAAAATTGGAGGAAACAGTGTCTGACTATTGTTTATGGTTTGGTGACTTAAGGCATGAGGTTTTTGTCTCTGCCAGCTCCTCAGTTTAGAACTCGCTAGGGAGCTTAGCTGCATATTGAGTCCTCAGGAAATATAGGGTGGTCTGCTCCTCAGGTATGTGTAGGAACAGGAGGGGGTCTCTTTCACCCTCATTGCCTGGGATGTGATGTAGTTGATTCTGAAAGAGAAAGAGCAAGTGTACGAGTCAGCATTTCCTCTAAGTGGTTATGTGTATTCTCTATATCCCAAAGCTGCCTATTTTTTAAAGGACTTATATTTGTCAGAAAATGGGGAGGTCCAGACTTGAGGGAAGGAGTAAGGTATAACAAAAAGAGGACCAGGCAGTCAAGGCCACTGACTTGCCAAAGGACAAATCACTTTTTATGTCTTTGGACCTCAGTGTCTTCATCTGTAAGGTGGGAGTCACAGCTGTCCTGCCTAAAATTGATATGACAATCCTTTTACCTGTCACTGCAAGTTGTAGAACAGATGTTACAGAACTTTAGGAGGAAAAAAATTAAAATGATCATATAAGTAGTATGATTTCTTGCCCCCGCAGGAAGGGATGAGAGTTTGCTCTTCCATCCCATCATCATTAAGCTGGCAAAATGCTAGAAACGGGGAGTGAGAACATACCTCACCCAGGAGGCCCTGAGCCGAATGACTAATCCTGACCTGACAAGAGGTGGTACCTCCTTGGCATCTGAGCATCGCATCTGAGGCTGAGCCTGTGCGAGCATTTACATACTATTCTTTGCCACTTGCCTAATAAGGTTAGGGGCTAGGCAAGCTCAGCAGTTGCAGAGAGCTCTTATTCTAGGAGCTCAGAGAGAAGTATTGGCACCAGCTATGCCTCTGAATTCTGGAAGAACTTTCACGGAGAGCCCAACTTAAGAAAGGGTCCCAAATGGGCACTGTCCCTGTGACTTTGTGCCAGCAGCTTAGTGCTTGACCTACATGTGTCTCTAGAGCACCCTGAAGCAGACAAACCTCATTCTTTTCTACTTGTCCCATGTGTTCGAATCTTAAATGACCTTTTCTCATTGGTTGTCTGTGTGAGTGGAAGAATCTCTCCTCTTTGATCTCTTCAGACTGCCCCTACTTCTCTAGAGATCCAAGGCCACATTGCCTAGTGGTTATAGCTAATGGTTATAACCTAGCTAATGGTTACTGCTAATGAAGCTGCCTTGGAATTTTCCATTCTTTTCGGGGTGTGGGAGTTCCCCCTGACAAGGAAAGATGGAGGGGCACATGGAAATTATTGCTCTTCTGCTTACAGGGCTAGATAACGAAAGTTCACTAAGATCAAATTAAGCTTTTTCTCATCACTTGAGTGTCCTATACTGGACACTGGTCATCTTTCATCTAAGATTTCAAAGCACTATTTCTATTTATAATCCCTTTCCTTTATCACTTTCTTAGGACGGTGTGAAAAGGTAGGGCTGATTCTTCCCCCAGATAAAGATGGGAGGAGCTGAGCCCTAAGAAAACTGAGCACTAAGAAAGCCAAGTGACTTGCCCGAGGGGTACCTGGGAAGATGGTGAATCTGTTCTGAATCTACTACTGGTTATTCAACCAAAAGAATTAGCTGAATGCCCGCTCCGTGCAGGTGCTCACCTAGGCACTGGGGAGAAAGCAGTGAAGAAGACACATGAAAAATCTCTGCCTTCATAGAACAAACATGGCAGTGGGTAGAGAGTAAAAAAAAGTAAAATCTTCTGATTTCCAGTTAAGTTGTCAATCAGCACTGTCCTCAACATCCTCTTGAAAGGTTAAGGAGTTCAACTTAAGGGTCAGCTGGGCTTCTTGCTGCTGTAGCCCTTCCCACTGCTTCCAGACTTGGAGAAGGTGAACTGGAGAGAAAAGTCTGTGGCACTGCCTGTCCCTGTGCCAGTATGATTGAAGAGAGTTTGACACTTTGCCTCAGGTTCTCTCCAGACCTCCTTGTTCCCCAGGATTCTCTGATGACATCTAAAAAGAAAGGGAGTATGATGTTTGAAAAACAATAGCAACAACAACAAAACAAAACCCTGCTTGCGTAACCCTTTGTAAGTCAGAGTAGCTCTAAAAATTTATAGTAGAAGGAGGAGGCAGAGGGCAGACTGGGAGAGGGAGGGGTTTAACCACCTCCATCCTAGTGGAACCTGCCAAGGACAGGATTGATTACAATTAGCAGGAACTTTGGCCACATGTGATTTTTGGAAAATTAATTGATAAAAGAGTCAAGTCCTTATCTGATGGTCCTTGTGCTCCTTCGTTCACCTTCTAGAAGCAAGAATGTCATCCATTTATTAGAGAGGGGCTGGGCCCCCAGTGCTTGGGTGCTGTGTTCTGGAAGAGCCCCTTCACATTTAAATAGCCAATGTGTGGCAGCCCTCCTGCATGCCACACAGCAGCCCCTTTCTGATGCTGAGAACGGGGCTCAGGATAAGACTTTTCACCTTCATCCTCCCTGTTCTCACCTGTACATACTCCTGACCCTCTCTCCCTAGTGAGCACGTGTAAGAGGTAACACATGCCTTCCTGAGGGGAGAAATGCTGGTTTGAGACCCTCTGGTGTCACTCACACGCAGACTAACTTTGCTCCCCTACTCACCTTGTTGTGGCCCTAGGCTCTGTCTGAATCAATAGCTGTCGTATTCCTGCCACCCCAGAGGAACTTTAACACTCATAGGCTTCAAATTCACTATCTTTCCTCCTCAGAGGTCCTTCTGTCCCATTTATGTAAAAAGGTTCCACCCTGTATCGCCTACTAACAGAGCATTTTACTCATCCTTTCCCCCCAAAAGCTTTTTGGAGCAGTGGGGGGCTTAGCTCCTGATCTATTGACACCTGCGGCATCCTGAAGAATTTCTATACAGCATCAGGCTGAGGATTCTGAGGGGCTGCAGAGGACTGGGCATCTTCTACCAGGTTGTCCTCCTGGTTTGTAAATGTGTGTATTAGGAGTAGGGGAGGGTGCAGAATATGGGGGAGGGTGGCAGACTGGCAGGCCACCCTCCAGATCACTCTGGTCTGGACTCCTTTTCTGACTTCTTCTCACCTCTTAGAAGTAAGGTCAGACTAAAAGATTCTATAGCAGGTCCCTCAAATAGACACGGAGTGCATTAGAACAATTAGAGGTCATAACCTTTTATTTCCAAGTTTCTGAAGTTGTAGGATTTGTGTTACTTGCTTTGGAAGAGGTGAGGTATGAAGACTGGGGTGTATCTGAAATTATTGGAGTCTACAGGCTGCTGGGGCCTCCCAGGGGGGAAGGGGCCTCAGCTCAGGCCTCAGCTATCAGTTCAGCTCAGACATCAACTGTCACCTAAACCCTGTGCTAGAATGAGTACCTCTTGCTCTTGCAGATGCTGGATCTCCATGCTGCTCTAATTGTTTCTTTTTGTCTATCTTTGAATCTTTATTCCAGAGATCCCGTTGTCATCGGTATCCAGGGAACCCTCCTCTTCCTCCTCCTCCTGCCGCCTCTCTACCACCGCAGTCGCTGGTTGTTGCTAAGGTTGCCTCCATGGTAACATGCACATCCTGTTTACACCTCCATCTGTGCAAGTTGGTCTAAGCTAGGAACCTACCTACCCTGGACAACCACTTCCATCACCACCTGGGGACACCAGTCATCGTGACACGCGGTCCGGTTCCACTCAGTTCCCCCATCCTCTTCCTCCTCCTACTGCCAAACTTCATACTCAGAAAAGGATCTGGGCTACGGGTTGCTACTCTGAAGCTTATTGCACAAGATATAGTAGATCTATTTACCATCTGGGCTCCCAGTGAAGCAAAAAGTAAGAAGAAGTGAGGCAGAGAGGCAAGAGACCCTGATCAGTGGAAGGGAAATTTCACATTTTCTCTGGCTGAGGGGCTTGGTAACATCAGGCAAAATGACAAACCCAACAGAACACGCCTTGCCAGCCAACTCGATAATTGAGAGCCATGAAGGGGAATTTGGCTGCACAGTAATGGACCTGAGGAAGCTCATGGAGCTGCGTTCAACTGATGCAATAAATCAGATCAATGTCCACTATGGAGGAGTAATGAATCTCTGCAGTAGACTGAAAACCAACCCTGTGGAAGGTAAAGGCCGTACCAGGGGTGGGGAATTGGAGGAAGGTGGCTAGTGTTAAAATACATTATTTTCCCAACTTCTAGAGAAGGAACATTTCTGGAGACCTTGCTGGTATATCTGTGTCTGGTGGGTAAAGTATAGTATCTGAAGCACTGAAAGGAGGTGCGGTTATGGAGAGAAATGTCATTTCTTTCCCAGAGATGATGTTGAGTGACTGTGGTATTCTCTGAAGATCATTCTTTCCTCCTTTTTCTGTATCAATGTACAGAAGGCAGAAGATCTCTATTTTATAAATGTTTATGTTAGAGATGCTTTTATCAGTAATCAAGTCCCTTATTCTGTATCAGTCTTTGATTGCAAAGGTTGAAGATAAAATTCTTCCCCACACTGATCTTACAGTGTAATATGAAGAAAAGTGGGTGAGTCCATCTACCTAATGTAGCACTTCTCTATGGTACACAGTTACAAACGGGATGGTAAGTCATAATGTAGAGAGTTGTACCCACCATATCTTTGGATTACTCACTCTGTTTTCTTTCAGGGAATTATTGATGACTTTTTCAACCCTGTCCTATGCACTTTTAGTATAGTTGTTCTTAATATATTCTTAAAAGAAAATGAGGGCTTCCCTGGTGGCGCAGTGGTTGAGAGTCCGCCTGCCGATGCAGGGGACACGGTTTCATGCCCTGGTCCAGGAGGATGCCACATGCTGCGGAGCAGCTGGGCCTGTGAGCCATGGCCACTGAGCCTGCGCGTCCGGAGCCTGTGCTCCGCAACGGGAGAGGCTACAACAGTGAGGGGCCCGTGTACCGCAAAAAAGAAAAAAGGAAAATGAAAAATCCAGCTTCATGCTTACCTGGCTCAGCCCAGTTGCTCAGTGAGCCATGATAATTTTGCCTCATTGAACTGGAGAGAGTACCAGAGGAATCTTATTTTCTCCTTTGCCTGGTTTCAGCATCTGTTACAGGTCCTTGCTTGGTCCTATCAGTCAAGCAGGCCATGGTTGAGTAGCTTGAGATAGAGCAAAGATCTTGTCCTTTAGATGCCTTCAGCCTCTTGAGGTATACCATTTCTGACCCTTCCTTGGAGGCCACATCATACTTCTTGCCAATTCTAAGAAGTTTTGACCCCTAGCCAATGTTATAAGTTACTGACTTGGAGTCCAGACTCTCTAGGATTAAAAAAAGGAAGAGATTTTTATCTAGATATCTGTACATTGCCCATGTCTTATTTTATTTTATTTTATTTTTTGCAATCAAAGAGAGCTGCCCTACACGTTCTCTGTACTTCTAGAATTCAGTTTCTTATCTTATAGGCTCTAAGTTCAAATATTACCTCTGGGCTTCCCTGGTGGCGCAGTGGTTGAGAGTCCACCTGCCGATGCATGGGACACGGGTTCATGCCCTGGTCTGGGAAGATCCCACATGCCGTGGAGCAGCTGGGCCCGTGAGCCATGGCCGCTGAGCCTGCGCGTCCGGAGCCTGTGCTCCGCAACAGGAGAGGCCACAATAGTGAGAGGCCCACGTACCACACACACACAAAAAAATTACCTCTACCATTTACTAGCTGAATAGCATTGAACAGTTTGTTCAGCCTCCCTAAGTAAACATCATTTTCCTCTTTGAAAATGATGTTAGTACCTAAGCTATAGAGTTATTGGAATTAAATAATGTAATGTTATGTACAATGCTTACACTTATAATGGGTGTTCAGTAAATTAGTCGTCTCACATTAAAATGGAGTCCACGTGTCTGAAGATATTTGCCAGAATATGAGTGCCTATGGAGTGCAATGTGTTTTTACATCTGGAGAGGCTGCTGCAGTCTACTTGCAACCACTGTCCATTTTCTCCATTCACCTGTTGATGTCAAAAAGCCTGGTTAAGATGGCAGTGCTTAGTTGCTTTCATGTGGCTTAGTATCTAATGACTGCCCTTTGGATAATGCCTACTTCTTGTCAGCTAGATTTCTTTATTCTGCCACTTTCACAGTAGCATTGACCTTAAAGAGAGGGTATTCCTATTATGTTTAACTGAGATACTGCAATACTTTCGAAACATTCATCAGAATTTAAGCAGGATCTTTCTTTTTGCCTTCCTCTTCTGTTCTTATCCCTTGGGTCAGTTGTTTCTCTCACAAAGTGAAACTCAGAAGTCCAAATAAGCTGGAACCTAAGAAACTCCTAAGAGCAAGGTCCAGACTTTCCTCCCGATTTTCCAAACCCTTTCTCATAGCTGTTATTCTTAACTTCCTGATTCCCAGAGAGCTTCCATTCCCAAAGGCCAGCATATATATTGTACTTTAATCTCAACATCAGATATCAAATGCTTAGATTCTTTCCCAGTCCTGGTTTCAGACCTGTAGTTGAAAGTCACCCTTCTGATGTCAGGTGCCTCTGTTGCTACAAACCCTGGCCTTGCCTATATCCCAGTACCCCTACCATTGTCACAGTTGTCCGCCGCCATTCTTCTGCTTCCTTAGATCACAAATATGTATCCTGACTTATTTCAATATTACGACTTACCCATAGGGCCGGTCCTAGAGCTGGGAAGGCAGGGTATCAGAAAATAACTTTTCCATGAGTAATTTTTAGCCCCCACTGCCAACAATGACCCCCTCATATGTGAGAAGAGTAAAGGGATAGGAAAAGGAGACACAGAAGAGCTATGACACAGGAGTCTCTCCCCAGACAGGGATGGTGCTGAGCGCTTTGGTTGGACAGGCTGAGAAAAGAGCATCAATAATCCAGGTGCCATAAAAAAACAGCCTGTTCACAGAAGACTGCTCTGAGGTGCCTGACAGTCTAGCATAGCTGTGGGAGGCCCCTGCAGGCTAATAATAAGAATAAAGAAATTTTCCCGGTGTTAGAATTCTGCTGATTGGAAACCAAGGTGAAGTAAGATAGGGGAGATTGGTTCCTAGAATATGACTCTTCCCCTTTATTTTCTGTTGGATTGATAGTATCTTTAGTATAGATTGGTAGATTGTTTTATTTATTTATTTATTTATTTATTGCGGTACGCGGACCTCTCACTGCTGTGGCCTCTCCCGTTGTGGAGCACAGGCTCCGGATGCGCAGGCTCAGCGGCCATGGCTCACGGGCCCAGCCGCTCCGCGGCAGGTGGGATCTTCCCGGACTGGGGCACGGACCTATGTCCCCTGCATCGGCAGGCGGACTCTCAACCACTGCGCCACCAGGGAAGCCCAGTAGAGTGTTTTAAACCATAGCTACTAAGGGGTCTTATGGAACTTGGAGTTTATAACATTTCAAACACTAACATGTTTTTTTTATTCTGTCTCTCTCGCTCGCTCTTGCTCATAACAGACCAAAAGGCTTAAATGACTTGCCTAAAGCCTTACCACAGGGTAGAACTCGATGGAATAATTCATGTTTTCCATTAATGTTTTGCTGCCCCTTTGGCTAGAGCAGCAACACGGAGAATCTCAGAATCACAGATAATTTTACAATTTGTTTTGTATTCCAATGCCTGATAAAATGTCTAACCGTGACCCAATGCTAATGTGAGTTTAATGTTGGCTTGCGTTCCTTGAGTACAGTGGCTAGTTGGAACAAGAGGAGATGCCCCAGTGGCCAAGAGTTGGTTACGTTCAAGATGACGTGGAGGTGCTCAGCCTCCATGGCATTCAGCAACGACCAGACACAAGGCTGAGTGTGAGCAAAAAAGGGAAGGAAAGTTGGGGAAACAAAAAGGGGTTGGGGGAGACGTGAAAGATGACACATGCTTTCATCTAAGCCACGAAAGAGTTCAGCCTTCATGGCCATGTTAAAGAAAAGCAAAGAGGCAGAGGTGAGGCTCTAGTTCCTGGATAAGTGGTTGTTGTGTTGCCTGAGGTTTATCAGTAGGGAAAACCTGAGCATTTTGCACCAATGGAATCTGTTTAGTTTGCTTGCTTCATTCCTCATTCCAATTTCTTTATCCCCCCTCTTTCTATTGCCTCTTCTTTCCCCATTACATCCCAGCCCCAACCAATATCTCCAATCCCCAAAGAGCTGAGCATTTTGGATGATACCCACTAGAAGATAGCCTTTTATCTTCTGATCAGTTTTCCATGCCATCTCCTGGCTTCCAAGAGCAAGAGAAACCTTTGTGAATCTGGAATGAGAATTACCCGTGGCTTAAGGGGAAGAAAGAAGAGGTATTTTCCTTAGTCTCAGTCTCCCTTCGTGTGCAGGAAGCAGAGAGGATCCTAGTTGAGAGATTCTTTGGTCTAGATAGAAAGTTGTATGAATTCTTCTTCCCCATAGAACTTTTCCACATTGGTCCTCAGCTGTGTTACCCTTTTTAGGAGGAAGAATGATGTTTTCTGAGGAGGAGCTAGGCCAACAGTTAGGGGGGAGGTCTGGGCCCAGATGAGAAAGGGCAGAGAAGGGGAGCCTTGACTAAACAATGAGTCATTACCTGTGGACTTCTTTCAGAAGGCTAAAGACTATTTATGTTGAATTTGGATCTAGAAGAATGTTGGTGGGAATTTCTGTCTCATGTTCCCTCTGTATCCTGCTATTCCTTTTCTCCTCTGCAGAGTTGAGGGTGTGACAGTGGGATACAGAGGGTTTCTAATTTCTTTTCAACCACATTAAACAAATATTTAATGTCCAGCAGGTGCTGGGGACACAATGGTGAACACGGCAGGGACAGTTCTTCCTTCCATAAAGCTTACAGGCAATAAGAGGATACACAAAAATTAAGGCAATTTCAGAAATATTGTCATAGTGCTATGATGGTATTATGGGAGCTCGCAGTACAGGGACCTAAGCTGAGGGGATTGTAGGGAAGAAAAAGGGGGCCTAGGAGTCAGAGGTAGGACTCCTCCATCGTGTGATTGCCTAGGGAAGCTCTGGCCTGGCCATGCTCTGTGGTAATTGCTACCACTTAGTAAATGTTCCTGGTATAAGATGCAAGCATCTTTGCCTTGCCTAATAACTGAGCACCTACTAGGTTTTGGGAGCTGGGATTCTTTGGGGAGTAAACAGCAGGAGGGGGAAAGAA